GGCTTGTTTTACAACGTCGTTGCCAAGCGACGAAAACCCAACCCCGATGGCAAACACCGGGGAGGGGGCCTCCGGGTGGGGGTGATATTATCGGTGACTTTGGTATCTCCGGATGAACAAAGAAGAGGGGATGGTGCTCCGTGGCTATACGATGTGGATTAGTGCTTTGTCGAAGGGCCGACCCGAAGCTGCTATCTTTCTACAAGTTTTGAGGTCGGGCGATTCCCATTCGCGCAAAATGGTCGCGTCCCCTCGTGTATTTTAGGAGGAAGGACAGGTGACGAGATAGTCAACGGCGGCGACCACAGCGTCACGGGGTGCAATCTCTATCCTCCACAGGTGTGTGCTTCAGAGCAGGAAGGAGGGTAGGTGAGTGTGACATCCGTTTTGGAACAGTTTTCACGCCGAGGCTAATGGGGAACAGCAACCGGAAAACGTTACCGTTATGTGCGATAGCGGAAAGTGTGCGAGTCAAACGCCAAGGGCTCTTAGAAAGGTGGTGGGACGTTGCTTTGCGGCAAGGCATTTTGTTCGGTGCTCGTGTCCTGGTCTACGGTGAAGAACCGTGGACGGCATGTGACGTGCGGCAAGAGCACACGCCGGTTTTTTAATGGGCACCACGCATTGTTTAGTCGTTCTTCGGATCCACCACAGGGTTCCATCCTTCCCCCCATGTCACGCACTCTGGTCTAGAAGACAGTCAACAGTGGACCCAAAAGAAAACCACCTCTTGTACTATGTGGTCGGTCTCTCCGCGAGACGTCAAACTCTTGCGTACTGACTTCCGTACTGATTTATCCCGACAGCAGGGCACTTGATTGATGCTGAACTGCTTGGTATCACCAGCACGGTGCGGTGCTACGAAGTAGACAACAAGTAAATCAAACTTCGCTTGGTCCTTGTACGTCGAAAGGATAAACATGATGACAACCAAGAGTCATTTGCAACAGCCCGCAGGGGTAAACAAACGCAAGTCACAACACTACACCCGCTGCTCTCCTACAGTCATGTAGTTAGAATGCATCAAATAAACTCTATCCGTGTAGCTAATGAAAAAAAGAGCACAGACGCCCTATCGTTACACACCTCGACAGAAATAAATGCAGAAAATCACAAAATCTACTTCCAAGAGCCGAAACCAGCGAGGGTCGTCTGGTGTTCTGTGTACCTGACAGTTCTCATTAACAAACTACGCGGCATAAAAAATCGCGACGACCAATCAAATAACAAACGTACGCGAGTGGACGCACGCGATCTCAACACATACTGATATGCATACCACCGCTTGGGTTCGGCCTGCCCACGAAACGAGATACATTACAACGACATCGACCACAACAGAGTAACGGCAAGGGACAAAGACGACGGCACGAGAAGGGGTGGGAACTCAACAGGTTAATAATTACGCTGCGCCGCCACCCCGCTCCTTCGCCACCGCACGCATGCATGGCACGAGGAACGTGCAGCAACCAAAAAAGCGAAATCTAAAGGGTAACGTGACCGAGTACAAGCAAAGCGTCCATCGAACTGCTGTGCACCGTTGACGATCGATCGCGACAACGCTCTACACTAGATAAACAAAATACTTCGTAAATCCAATACAACTACACGCCAGTGTCCCTATCTTCTCGGCTATTGTTGCGGGGGTGCCTCACCTCCTCATCCACCTTTCCCCACTACAACACGGTCAGCGTATTACAATTAGTGACAACACAAGAATCTTTTCAAGAATCCCTATTTAGTAGCCCGCTCCGCCACGGTCTAAAGAACAAACAGAGAGATTTCTACACTCACTCCGTCGTAACCCTCGTCCGACTGATCGAACGATCGATAGGTAAAAAAAAAGCGAGAGTTCGGGATCGACTCCCTGCCACTACCCACCGCAATAGAACCCGTGACCTTACAATAGAACATACTCGTGTGTACTGGTGATACAATTAGAAAACCGACAGGAGGTGCAGCCTCCATCTCCATCATCAGGCCCCGAAACGGACTCAGCACACGCAACAGCTTCATCAACTGAACCAAGATTCGGACATACAAGCCTCGTTCTCGGAGTGGTTTGGCGGAGACCCCAAGACGTGCGAGCGAGCGACGACGACCCCCACAACATCAAGGCAGACTAGGGAGTTCGCCCATCCGCTCTCCGCCTTCACACACACCACACCGTCACACCTAACAGGGCGTCCCTCAAGCCTTGGGGCCGGTGCCCTTGGCCACGATCGGGATGCAGACCTTGGTCTTGAGCTTCTCGGGCGGGGTGTCCTTCGGGTCGTTCTCGTACAGCTCGAACACGGGCATGCGCGACTCGTAACCCTTGGTCTCGACCCACTCGAAGGTTGCCTTGTAGCACTTCATCAGCTGGTCGTACGGCCCCGTGTGCAGCGTCGTCACGCACTTGCAGCCGCCGGCAGTCCTCACGCCGAGGCCGTTGTCGTCTCCGTCGACGTCCTTCATCAAAGCGGAGGCGCCACCGCCGGCCACCGAGGGTCCGCAGGTGAACTTGGTGGTCCCGCCGGGGGAAGGGTCCCAGGTGTAGTAGGCGGACGCGGGGGGGCCGGCCATGGCGAGCCCGGCAGCGGCGGCTCCCGCGAAGGCGGCGGGGAGCGTCTTGTTGGTCTCTTCGCTGATGGCGGGGCCGGTCGCTTCGCTTGTGGACATCTGCGGGGGGGGCGAGGGGTAGGGGGGGGTACTCAGTCGTGCATGCCGTTGTCGTTAGAACAGTGATCGCGCATCCCTACAAAGCCGGGACGGAGCACGCCGGGTTCTCACCGGACCATGCTCTCACATCACCAAGCGTGAAGCTCGGTGAGGTATTCGGCGAATTGCATGAAGGGTGCGCTGCATCCTGCGAAGGGTGTTCAGCATCTAGTGATTACTTTCTTGCATACGGATGACAGCTGCCAATGACTTAAATATATTTCTGGTGCTTTCACTTCCAGAGACAGCTATACGCATTGTATAACTGCCTCGAGGGTGCTTGACAACTCAACCCAACGTGGTGGGGATCATTCCATTTACGCGGAGTGAGGATTCTCTACCGCGCACAATGTGAACTACTCCACCACCATTCTGGTTACCGCAACAAAAAAAAAGGCACAAAAACAAAGCGGTACTCTGGTTGCCGAGCGACGAAAACCCAACCCCGACGGCAAACACCACGGCAGGGGCGTAGGTCGGCTATTAGGAAGAAAAATATGCCACTGAACAAGAGTCGCAAGCAAGGCGGAATATAACGTAACAAACGACAGTAACCGCAACGACAACAACAACGGTAACGACAACAGGGACAAGGACGTAGCCTCTTTCTCACCGCCCCGTAACAGTACACAGTAGGCATGTCCTCAACCGCCCAGGTGTAGCGCCAGTCGTACTTGGCGCCGATCTCCATGTCCTTGGCCATGTCTTCGTTGGAAGTAGTAGGCCCCGTCTGCACCTCGCACAAGCCCCACGGTTGGCCGAAGGGGTCTTTGCAGCGGCCCCACACTGAACGTTGACATCGAACATGAGACCAACACGCGGAATAACGAGGGCGCAAGGTCGTTGAGAGCACATGAGTGTGGGGGTAGTGGATTGTTGCCATGGCTTGAGGTATCTCCGCAGATGTCCGTGCTGGCGGACGATCGTATCGCGCTCTTCACGGCCATGCACATACATGCATCGCAACAAGAGCACAAGTAGCCACAAGCGGGTGAAACAGAGACAGATGTAAAGCGGTTGTATCTGGAAATATGCAGCACACATACCGCCAGCAATCTAGCAAAGGCGCCACACCGTGCCAGCTGACAGCACGACAACGGCTGTTGTATGCTGTGGCTGGCGTATGTGACGGAGGCTTGGGTAGAGGAAGACAGAGTGATTCATTATCCACACACAGGCGCCGTCTTCACCTGACGGTTACAGACTTGGAAACACGCCTTCACAATGCCGGGGATAAATCCCACACAGCAGAATAGAGTCGTTCATGCACAACACAAATACCCCAACACCAGCTACTCCTTTCGCACGGGTAAACCTTACCAGACGACGGCAGAGAAAGGGAGCACCAGCATCCATGTGCTGTGCAGACATAACGACGCGCTGTACAGACCACATCACAACAATAATCATTCGAGTGGAGCACCTCCTGATTGATTCCTCTCGTGCCCACCCACCTTGTCCCCAGAACTGCATCGACACCTCCTCGAGGACCTCCCCGCCGTTGTCCTTGAAGGACTTGGCCAGGGGTCCCGCTTCGTCCTTCCCGACTTCGTGCGAGATGGTCATCGAGGCTTCCGTCTTGCTCGCGTCCTCGCCGCAGTGGTCGCCGACCATGATGATGCCGCCGTTGATCTTCAGCTCCGCGCACATGATCTGGGTTCGTCGAGGAACATATTCAACAGAAAAAAAAACGAAGAACGCGTGCTTTGAGGCTGGCGGCCAGCGTCCGATCTTGGACGAGACTGAATTTGTCAATCAGCGAGGGAGACCCACGACCCGGGCGCGCGACTGGTCTCGATTGCTCGAGAGAATATACAAGCCAAACCAGGAGCACACCAGACATCGTGGAGGACAGCGGGCATATTTAGGAAACACCTCCCGCGCGCGACAGGTCTCGATTGCTCGAGAGAATATGCAAGCCAAACCAGGAGCACACCAGACATCGTGGAGGACAGCGGGCATATTTAGGAAACACCTCCCGCGCGCGACAGGTCTCGATTGCTCGAGAGAATATGCAAGCCAAACCAGGAGCACACCAGACATCGTGGAGGACAGCGGGCATATTTAGGAAACACCTCCCGCACGGGACCGCTAAAGCGGGAGCTCGAACGACGGTATTGATCCGTAAATCAACGTATGGCCATGCTATACACCTAGAGATGCGGTATAGCCTTCGCTAGGATATTATTATTGTTGGTTTTAGTGGGGATAACACGTTTGTGACAGGGTAAGGGTTACGAACCCCCCCTTTCAATATTTCACATAGTACGCTGAATATCCTCGAAAAGGCGTCCTGAGACACCCGTTACTACAGTACCTTACAAGCCCACGAACCTTGCCGGTGGGATCCTTGGCAGGGGGGTACACGACCTCGGCTCCCAGGGCGTCCGTGACGAAGGTCATGTAGGCGGAGCAGTCACGGACGCTGACGAACGGGATGATCTTGCGCGCCAGCTTCTTGGGCACGTCCTCGATGGTGTTGGTGGAGTTTGACACCGACCAGATCTGACCGAAGGGGTCCTGGTAAACACCGAACCTATTGTTGCATGTATTTGTATGGGGGGCACGGGTGTTACGTTTAAGAGTGCAACAGGCTTATGCTGCTGCTGAGTGAGCTAAATGTTGTCGTGGGTCTTGCAACCAAGAAAGTGAAGGGCGGGGGAGCTGTATCGAACCAGGGTTTTGAGAAAGAAAAAAGGATGTATTCCTATCGGGGTAAAAGGGACGCCAAAGGATGCGCGTGTGCGGGGCCAGCACTGCGACCGACCGACATTCTTCAACAATACCACCATGGGCGACAACCGTTCTCACCTCACGAGGAGCGATCAGAAGCATTCAATGAAACCCGCCCGGTTATTAAAACAGCATCAATCAAAACAGGGTCTTCTTTCGCTAACGAGAAAAGTAGAACCGTGGCACAAAGACTTTTCTCTCTCGAAATTCGTTCTAATCCAACAACCCAGAACATCAAACAACAGAAACTGCTTTTCCCTTCAAGAGCGCAACCGAATCGTGGCACAAGCGCATCGCACTTCCATCAACAACAAGAGCATCAGCAACTCACGTGGCCCCCCAGAACTGCTCGGCCATCTTGGTGAGCTCCTTGGCACCGTGCTCCACCAGCTTGGCACCAACGCCGGCTGGGTCATCGGTGTTGAGGTGCAGGCGGCCGTGAGGGGTGCTGATGGCGCCGGTGTCCATCTTGTTGCCGAGCTCCTCGACGTACAGCGCTACGCCGCCGATGTCTATGGCGAGGTGCATGATCTTGCCGTCCTCGTCGGGGAAGCGGAAGTACTCCTGACGAAGGACGGGCGGGGGGGGGAGGCAGCATATAGGTTGTTGCTTTTCGACTTGAAGAACGTCACGAAAGAAATGGACTTCGTTGTGAAGAACATCGAACAGGTCAGATGGTTTGCAACCTTGTTTTAATGCATTTCTTAAAACACAACAAATCCACCGGAACCTTTCGAAGCAACAACAAGAATCGCGCGATGCTTTGCACCAGCATAAACGGAAACCCCCATGGTGGTGTGTGTGCGGTGCCACTTGACCCGAGGTCCTGCTGAGTCGCTGAAAGGGCATCACCTCCTCGGCAGCCTACAAGCGCAACTCTGATGTATCTACCAAGCCTATCTATGATAGCAATGTCGTCCACGGCCGACGTGGCAACTGCCTGTCTGTGTGCAGAAGTCTGCATGGGTACGATTGATTGATGTTCTTTGGATCGCGTGATAACACTGCTTTGGGTAAAAAGCCAGCCCATAAAGCCCGCGAAACCGCGAAGTGTTCGTTCATGGACGAGCTTTTCACACCTTGGCTTTGGCGGCTTTTCCGATGAAGTCGACAAACTTGTCCGCGCTCTCGACCATGACATTCACGATGATGCCCCTGCGAGTCGGGGGGTGCTGCAAAGGACGTTTTTGTTTTGGGAGAGAGACAGGGCGAGAGAGAGGCGGACGTCCAGACAGAAGAGAACGGTTGGGCGGGAGGATGTTGTCATTTTCGCAAAGCAATTCAAATGATCGGATGCCTTGTTGTAGTCTATGAGGGGTGGCCGGAGAAACGACACCCAGGAGAGGGGTGAAGAAAACGTGCGGCCATGAGCTACGTACCGTGGGAAAGTGCTTACGAAGGGGCATGACCGACGGTAAGGAGGGGCCGTGAGAGTTTCCGTGTGTCCGCAGCAGAGTGTGATACAAGTCATGTTTCAGCGGTACACCCAAACTTTGGCTTTGAGAGTCGTGTTTTTGGAGGGAGGCGAGCCGCGACAGGCAGACGGGTGGGGAGGTATGCAAGGAGAAAAGGCGACCACTAGTAGGTGGAGCGATCCACACCTTCGTAGGGCGGGCGGGTGACCATCGTTTGTGTGAATGCTATACTTGTTTAGATGTACAGCGTATCCACTATGCCACAAGTCAGCCGCTGACTTGTAGCATAGTGGATATGCTGTACATCTTAACAATGCTGGCTTCAAACGGATTGATACCAACCAGTTGGTGTTGGTGCAACGACAACCCGGAACATGTCGCCGGATCATCGAGCTGGCTCTAAAGCCAGCCAGCCGCACAGCAGCGCCCATCTGCCCTCTCTTCCTCTCGATCTCGTTATCTCTGGCGTGTAGGAGTAGACGCTCGTGAAGACTGATTCCTCTCTTGCAACCTCATAAACTCATCAACGAAGGCAAAGAAAAAGAAAGCACAAGGCTACATGTTGGTTGAAATCGCAAGCCCTCACCTTGCGGTCATCAGAAGGGCAAATCTTCTTCGCTGGGGGCTCGGCCAATTCGCTCATGATTGACTGCTGTCTTGTGTTCGGATAGAAGGGAGTGGGCGGTTGCAAGAAAGGGGAGAGAGAGGCTAGAGGAGGATAGTGACAGAGGCGGGGGTTGTGTGGGAGAGAGAGCTAGCGGATCGTGGCGGCAAGCTGCTCTCCAATTTGCGAGGGTTTGCGCGCGAGGAGCCTGCAAATTTGTGGATGCGTTGGAAGTTGCAGTTGCGCCGCATTTTTGCTTTGTTTGGGGGGGAAGAGACTTGACACTCGACACACTCACGCCATTCGGGACTCTGCGCTGCATGGTGAACAAGGTGAGCTCGAGGTTCCATGGCTTGTGCCTACTAGAACCAACCTTGCTATTCTCTGGTGTGTGTCTGACCTGGCTGGCATATGAGTTGCATTGGCCTGTCGATCACGAAAGCGATTTTGAATTTGAAAAATTGACTTGCAGAGAGTGTACCGTAGACCAGGCACACATCATGGAGGTGATCGCCTCCGCCACGGGCAGTCCAGAGGTAGCAGTTTGTGGCCACCTACTGCTGTATCAAGGAGGACACTATTCTCTTTACCTCTCTGTCTGTCCTCCTCTCCCTTGCATTGGCGTTTCGACGGCCTGCCCACCTCGGCAAACATGCGGCGGTTTGATACAGCGGTATTAGTTGCAAGCCTTCTCTTTGTGTAGGCTACGTCGTAAGACAGCCCAGCATGTGAAAGTGTGCATGCGTGAAGTTGCCCCATTTCAGTGGACATAAGCTTTTTAAGCAGCAGCCAAAGCACGATTGAACCGAGGCGGTTCCCTTCATCCCTCGCCCTACATTAGCTTTGTTTGAGCTTGTCCCGGCCGAGTGATGTATTCCCACCACCAGCACAGAAGAAAACCGTAGGTTACGTAAGATATCACACCCTTCGGACCAACTTTCAAAGCTTGATTTCTCCGCTGGGAAATCAGTGACTGTGCCGAAACTGGCGGAGTTGGAATCGTCCCCGCCGAGAGCTTGCCGAACACGCATCGTTTGCCTTCGGCATCCTCTTGGTCGTGGAGCAATCGCGCTTTGAGAATCGACCCAGTGTGGTACCCTGTGCAACCTACGGTAGATCCTCGTCCAGGCTGTCCGAAACACACCAATTGCTGTACGAGCCCGCTGGCTGGCGACCGCGCAACCCTGCTGCTGCTCTGCTGCTACTTGCTCTGCTGCTACTACTGCTTCGGCCGCTGTGCCAAAGATACAAGCACCTTGTTGGGCAGACGGCCTCGCCTGCCCCTCCCTACGGGGACTAGACCCTGCCAAGCTTGCTCGGGATCTAGTGTCGAGATCGGCAGCGTCCGTGGCAAGCGCTGGCGTCAAAGGAGGCGGGATCTCTGTGGCAACTGTAGATGAAGTGTTCGCGCTCATTCAGCTGGGACTCGATGACAGGTGCATGCTTGAGCGCGAAACAGATGCCATGAGTTGGCCCACTTGAGACCCGAATGGTTGCAGTCTGACTAGGGTTAGGGTTGAGTTTGTAGACCATGGTAGTAGAGGACCAAGAGAAGTTTCTACTTTCTCGCCAATGAGACTAGTCAAAACCATTTATCACAGCGACAGCAGTGGTAGTAGGCAGCGGTCGAAGCTCGAGTGTGGTGCCTTTGCCTGGAGCAGGCACTCGCCTAGCGTTTCCTAGTACTCCAATGCTTTGAGTTCTCGTTTGATCGCAGAGACCAACATGCGGCCCGTTCGATAAAGGTGGGTGCCACAAAATGCAACACAGACCCTATTCTTGAACATTCCGGTGTTGACGTCTAGCTAAGTACCACGCAGCGCCCAGACCCCTGCTTTGCCGGTTTTATCCCCCAACCACGAACCCCTACCGCAGTTTCATCCGCTCTCGAGGAGCTCGTTCATGGCCGCGCGAGGTTCGTCTTTTGTTCAGTTTTCCCTGCGGAGAAATCAGATGCTACTTACCCCGTTTGAATTAGATGCTACCAACCCCGTTTGAAAATCGACGTTGTATTCCCCCACCCCTTCCCCCCGACCGCTGCGCGGTGTGATTCTCACGGGGCGCTGCCGCCGTCGCCGGATTGACGTATGAAGGCAACCAACACCAGCAACAGTGGAGGCCGGAATCACCAACAACTCGCCGGAAGCAGAAACGGCGTTCCGGTCAGCCCTTGCTCCGGTAAGACCAAAACTAACGAGGCATCAATTTGAGTAACCTGGTATACCTTTCGGGGCAAGTCAGCTTGCGATGGCGGGAATCGACCGCATCAAAGTGGGTTCATTAGTACGGACAGGAGGTACTGGGCAGAGAGATCGGAACGGTTTATGATGTGAAGACAACAACAACAAGTACCACAGGAGGCAGAGAGGTGGCACTTTCAGTAGACCGACTTACAAAGCTCGATTTTCTCCACAACCAAGGGGGGTGCGGAAAGAGCCCGGTACGTCTACGGAGAGCCCCTCAACGAGGTGTTTCCGACACCACCGTTGTTGATGTTGGCACAATCTTGGTTGTGGAGCAATCGAGCTTTGAAAATCGGTCTAGGAAGGGTGCCATCTTTCCGCCTCTTGCGGAATACCATGATATGGTATACGGTACGGTATAAACAATCTTGGTTGTGGAGCAATCGAGCTTTGAAAATCGGTCTAGGAAGGGTGCCATCTTTCCGCCTCTTGCGGAATACCATGATATGGTATACGGTACGGTATAAACAATCTTGGTTGTGGAGCAATCGAGCTTTGAAAATCGGTCTAGGAAGGGTGCCATCTTTCCGCCTCTTGCGGAATACCATGATATGGTATACGGTACGGTATAAACAATCTTGGTTGTGGAGCAATCGAGCTTTGAAAACCGGTCTAGGGGAGGTACCATCTCCCCGTCTCTTACGGAATAAGTATTAACAAGAAGATGGACTTGTGCGTACGAACATGTGTGTTGGAACGAGAATCGAAGGACGGTGGCAATTTTTTTGTTATACCGCATCTTGGTGGAACACATGTCTTGCTTTGCCCGTAACCTGGAGACGGATCTGAAGTGCATTTGGCACGGGCGTGCGCTTTTGAGGGTTTGTTCCTCGAACGCATGTCACGCTGCGGCACCGCTCCCTGTCCTGTGCACGCGGCTGTCTCACGCGGAGCATCGTAGCGGTCTTACAGGCAGACTTCAATTGGACTCGTAGCAGGGTCGGTTGTGGAGGTTGTTGTTGATGTTAGTGTTGTTGGCGTATGTTGTCTCGTGTCGGAGTTTTGTGGTACACTATCCCAGCAGCAGCGCCGCAGGTGATTGGTTGGCCGAATGCTTGTTCGGTCCTTTCCCAGGAAGGACGGTTGTCCGCCTAGTTTGCAACGGGGTTGCTGAGCCTACCCCATAAAGAACGCGGTAAATTCTGTCGGATATCGACATCTTATGTGTTGCTGTTTTTTTTGCCACCGGGCTTTGATTTTTTGTTGTTGTTGCGGAAGCCGTCTATGTGTGTGCCTACTTAAGGCGTTTCAGCGTACTATATCTAGAATTCCCGCATGTGTGTGTGCTGAGGTGTTCTCGAAGCAAGTCCTAGTGTACACACCAACTGGGGTCACTCTGTCACTTTCCCCTGCCCCCACCCGGGATTGATTCATAGTGAAAAAAGCGGCAAGAAGCGGCGTACAAGCTGATCCGGCTGCTCTTGTCCGTTCGTCGTGTCCCGCTCCGTGATCATTTCTGTTGGACACCACAGGGAGCGCTTGGCCTAGTGCCCAAGCTTGCCGCGGCGTTGCAACACCGGGATAGAAACTTGGCCGCTGATAGTTGTGACGGCGGTGGCGGTGGTGCCGAAAGCGCCGCGCGCGAACAAGAGCAGCATCCGGTGTCGCGAAGCGGACGGGGGCAAAGGGACGCTGTGGTGCTTGCGGCCGGACACTTAACAGGTGGGGCGCAAGTAGTAGACAAACAGTGCAAACGCTGAAAGGAGAATAGTGTTGTCTTGTATTGCTGCGGGAGTGGTTTTCTTAGTCACACGTGCCAGGTCTTCTTTTTCAGAACCAATTGCTCTGCTCTGCTCCGGGGCTGCTTGTCGTGTGTTTCGGTCACTCAGACAAGTTCGCTTTTGAACGTGAGAGGCACGTTCTAGGCTCCCCTCCGGTGCTTTCTTATTCGACCGCAAAACCCACGATCGTGTGCACACTTTGTACTCTCGCCTGTGACACACGACACTGACCTCCAGCTACTCTAACCAGAAGCACGCCTTCGCTTTCACGAGCTCCTGCGAAGGAAAATGGGAATTGCGCGCCTTACAGTAGCAGCACAACGCAACCCCCTGGACGGCACGAGTCATCCGTCCTCCCTTATTTGCTCCGCCGTGCTCGCCTCCTTTTTTTCTGTCTCTGGCCTGCTGTCGACCGTTGCTGCCGCCGCTGGGTGCTCGCTGCGTACGCGCTCTGCCGTGCAGCAATGGAGCAGCTCGTGACTCGACAAAACAACACGCCCGCGCTCCTGATGGCGCACAACGCCCTCTCCAAGCTGCTCAAGAACAACTGGCCGTGGCTCGTGGGAGGCGTCGTGGACGCGCCTCGGCTGCTGTCGCGGCTGTGCGAGATCTATCGCGACGGGCTCGGTCAGGTGGACGGGGTCGAGACGCGGCGAGGGGGTTGTCGGAAGAGAGTGCGATTTCGCGATTTCGGAGACTCTTTGATGATTATTCTTACCGCTGCTTGTGTGTCATTCGTACCGCTGCTTGTTGTTGTTGTTGTTGTTTCTCACATTAGCTCTAAAAAAGAAAGATTGGGAGCCCGTGGTCTCAAAACTCGGCGTACACGACCCCACGAAGAAACAGGAAAAAAATAGGGTACAAAAACCACTCGGAAGAGAAACAACAATGATAGAAAGAAAGACCAGCTACCGCACCAAATGAGAAAGAGCGTCGAGGAGACCGATCAAAATAAAATAAAAGGAGAACGGGGAACGCTTCCCACACCCGCCCTTGTGTGTGTTGCTGTTGGTGGTGCGCCAAGGTCTGTTGGTTGGGCTCACCTCTTGTTTGCCGTTCTGTGGGAGGATCGTGAGCTAGGAGTTGAACAACGCCGCTCCGAAGCAAGGGATGCTCGCTGTGTTATCGTTGGCGAGGCAAGAGCTTTGGCCGCCGAACGACACCGCTGTCCGCAGCAAGCCTGCTGCTCGCAGTGCGACTGCGGGAATCTTCCCCGGTGCAGGCTAAACCAAAATTGTCCCCAGAAGCTAGCCTTGTGGAACCAAGCAACGAGCCAAATAGCCAACTGTACGGTTGCTGGTTGGTGCTTTCGCGGGAGGATTCGCTGTTGTTCCAAGCACAGGAACAACTCTTGATGTGATGGATCGCTTTCCTTGGTGTCGTTTCGTCGACGTCGTCGACGTCGTCGTCGTCGTCGTCGTGGAGTGTGTTTCGTATGCTGTTGCCATGCCCATTGGTTCGGACGGTCGTTGAGCCAGTTACTGCTCTGTTTCACCCTCGTGTCAAAGCACAGTATATCCGGCGATGCGTATGTAAGTATGCCCGTTTGTGATCGGTCCATCTCCCCCTCCAGAAGTCTACATATGGTGTGACCCCGGTTGGGTCGTCTAGCAAGTGGAAGTGGAGGATAAGGGCCAGAGGGGCAGACGACAGAGTCCAATGATGGGAGAAAAAAAAACAAAATGGTCTACCCACGACGGCATGCAATTTCATGAGTACCCCCTACCCCCCCCCTCGGAAACGATTGGCCATCGATGATCGGTCCTACGGGAACAACGCTCCGTTCTCTCGAGGACGCGTGGTCAATGTCTAGCCGCTAAGCATGCAAAACATAAGAGGACGCCCCCCCCTGCTTGCGGCAGCGGCACACACCGCGTGGAAGCAACCCATTCGGATGATGTGGGGGGCGGGTCAGAATGATTGGGTTCAACCCGCCCTTTCACAGGACCAACACCGGCAAGCCCCGCTCCCCCCCCCCGCCGTGTCGTACTGTTTCGAACCGCAGCTCAAGGGTTGCACTATTTAGTGCAAGCCGGCATGCCGGACCCACACACACAACACTTGACACGTGTGTATCCTTCTTCGTGAACTCGCTGCTTGATCCTGTCCCCCGACCCGCCGCAGCTTGATATTGCGTTGGCACAAGCGGACGCTAAGAACGCGGCATCCAGCGAAGAACCTCGTAGCGGGAACAGGTCTGCTGGAGGAGGTAGGTATTTTCTTTCATGCGACAGGATATGTATCCGGCCTTGATGTGCTGCGGTGACGCTAAAACCCTGAACATGATATCTTGTTCGCGTTTGTGGCTCTGTTTTTTTTTTTGGTCCAGCGTGTCGTTTCAAATGTTGTTGTTGTGCCAAAGGTGGACGCAGCCATGTCTGGGGAGACCTCTTGCTAGGTGCCCGGTTCCTTGAGAGCACACCTCTCCGTCCGTCCCCTGTGCTCGCGGTGTATAGACTTCTTGACTTTGAGGTGTTGGTTTCGGGTGCGCTACTTCCGCTGATGACGAACGAAACTGCCGTACTTATCTCCTTCCCTGGGGTTAAACGTATCCCACCTTGCCCCGCAGGCAGGGAACCCTGTATAAACCCCGATGGTTTTCGTCATGTTACGGAACCACCCCCTCCCCCCAGAGGGTATAGGTGCACTGGCATGTAGTATTGGTGTAGGCATGTGCGGCAGGCTATTGGCTTGGACGGTTGGAAATTCCATGCGTAACTGCAAGCGCCAAGCGTCGCGCGACCTCCCGTTCCCTCCCGCTGGACTCTCTCTCACCGTCTCTGCGAAACAGGAGCAGGAGACACAGCGCACCTCAAGAAGTTCGGGAAGCTGCTGGCCACCTTCGGCACGCGGATGGCGTGCTTGCTGCGGCACCTGGGTCCGGAGTGTCGGCCTCGGAAGAGGCGGGAAGCGTTCAGGCTGTACGCGAAGGTGAGATATGGCATGTACTAAGATAGTATGTGGTGCCTGGTACTCCGTGGGGTTGGTCGTTAGCGTAAATCTTCCTCAACTTGGATTGTGCAAACTGCAGCGAAGTATTAGTACGATCGTTGTTGGGTGCGTCAGCGTCGAGACAGCATGTTTTCTTAGGTCGTCACGGCCACCTGCGACTACTGTAGTTTTTCCATCTCGACAGTTGGGTTCGGCTTTTCTTTCTCGCAGCGTTCTCAAGCGAGAGCATGACGCACACGGGAGCACAACAGACTAGCTTCTTGACTCGTCTTGATGGCCATCCTCGTAGGACTTGCACCAGTGCCTTACATTTGGTTGTGCCATCGACAAGCCGCATCCACTCTTACGAGCGTCCCGTGCGATCAACCCCCCCCCCTCCCCCCTCCTTGCACAATTTAGGCATGAAAAACGTGACTACACCCCACCCCCCTCCCCATTTCTTTTCCAGGCCACCGCCTCTGTGTACCCGGGCCTGCTCGCTTCGCTCCGCGCGCGGGACGTTGTCGGTGACGACGCTACTACTACTGGGGGGGTCGCAGGCTGCATCATCTACCCGAAAGCAGTGGAGGCGTTTTTGTCCACCACCGACGAGCCACCCTGCTGTCAGAGCGGTGTGTCGGCAATAGGGCACGGCGAAAACGCGTCGCGTAGTCCGCCAACGAACAGCAGGAAGGCCAGCCCTTTGGTTGACGCGGGGGGATCGAGTTGTGCCGCATTCTCTTCTGCGGGGAGAGTAGCCGAGCGAGAACGAAACCTTCGGCGATCATGCCGCTGCTACGAAGGGGCGACGACCGGACCGCTCTCGGGGCAGAGGCACGACCCATGGGAAGCTCTGGAAGCGCTGCGCCCGCCGAATCGACCACCGCTGATTACGGATCCAACGCGCACCAGCAGCCGCAGCAGTGACTCAAGTACCGCCACGGATGATAGCCGCGACGCCGCTCACGACCTGCAGTCGTCGCCCGCGGTGGACCCGCTGGGGGCGGTCTTGCTGCTGTGCGAGTTTCTGCGACGGGGGTACGGTGCCGCGCCGGCGGCAGGAGGAGCCCGGGGGCCCCGTCGTGAGACGTGCTGCGCCTGGGTGCTAGACCACCTGGCGGCGCTGTTTCCCGGCTGGGTGGATTCTGCCGCCGGCGGCGGCGGGCAAGGAGGAGCGTCCGCCGCTCTTGCGGGAGAGGTTTCCGCCACGTTGGGGGTGGTTGTGTGCCGCCGGGCAATGGACGGGGAGTTCCAAGAGGCGCAGGTGAGGGCGGGAGGGGGGGAAGGGGGGGGGGGGG